AACATTTTTTGATGAATTAAAGTTAATGTTTATAATCAATAATGTCTAATATTCAATTTTATATCTTATTTTTTAAGTACCGTTGTCAACAAGGACATGTTGAGTGTGGATATTATGTCATCCGCTACATGAATGACATAATTGAGACAGGAACGACTGAGAAATTAACGAGGTAAAGATGAGTTACGTTGCATGACGTTCTTCAATTTATTTCACATTTTTGACTAAGTTTACTATGTTATTTTTGATTAACAGATATTTCAAAATACTGCGCCATATCTCATGGATGACATCAACTTGATGAGGGACACTTTGTCAACAACATTGGTAGAAAAAATTGAAATTTAGCTTTCAAATAGATAGGTTATTTGTCAAAAAATTCATTGTTAGATGCTTTCTCTCGGTTCCCTCTTATATTGTTCATGATTTCCATTGTACAAAGAAGTAGTTACTTCTATTTCAGAATTGTTGGACCTAGCTAGCCAATACGTGTTCCTTGGTTACCACTTAGTTCTATTATGTTGGCTGGTTTCCCTATTTTCGAATTGTGTAAAAAAAAATTTCATTGCTGTATATTAACTAGCTAATTGATCTTGTTCTGCGTGATCTGCACTGCCTACATTTGTTTGGAGCTGTAAACTGCAGGGTGGTAAACACGAAAATTTCGCAGAATTTAAAAAAAAAAAAAATTTAACGGCGGTTATACATATAACCGCCGTTAAAACCCTTTTCCACGGCGGTTAACTATAGGACCGCCGTGGAAAGTCAACTTTCCACGGCGGTTAAAAACCGCCGTGTTTTCCTTGCCTTTCAACGTCGCCTTTAACAACTACGCCTTCAAAACCGCCTTTAAAAGCCACTTTTAACCGCCGTTAAAAGCCTTTTTTCTGGTAGTGAAGGTTAAACTACACTAATCTATGTCAAATTAAAGCCCTTTGGTGTCATCCAAAATGAATTTAATGCTCTTACACCTTCCTAATTAAGAAAATTAGACATGCCGTAATGAGAAACTATTGTCACCTTTGACTATGTTTTTTAGTAATTAAGCAGGAAATTGGGCAGATCGGTTTTCCTATCTTATTTATTATGAAAATTTTCATATATATTAAGATTCTCGATATAATGATCCTCTTTCAGGTTTGCAGAGCTCTTTTCGACATCAATAACCTATATTAGTTATTTTGTTAATTAATGTTGAATAAGTTATTAATAAGCATATGAAATTTAATTTAGCTCATAATCTTTAAGTCCTAAAATATTGTCACCTCGCTCTAAACTAAAGGGGAAAAATCACGCTCATAAGGATAACTTCATTCAAGATCCATCAACTTTCTCGTTCTGAACGGTTACGATTCAATCCCAGTATTGAACTTTCACATTCTGAATAATCAAAATGTGAGACACATCTAATGATGGCCATTCACCCACGTGTCCACTGATGGAGTTGGCACGTATAAAAAAGCAACAAACATCTTCTCGCCGTCTGTGGGGATCGAACCCACGACCACGTGGTTAAAAGCCACGCGCTCTACCTCTGAGCTAAGACGGCCGGTTGATTATTACGTCAATACAAAACATAATGTTAACTCATCTGACCATCACAATTTCTTCCACTCACTTCTTTTGCTTTTTGACGTTCAAGTCACATTGTTAACCATTTAAACATAATTTTAGAAAATTAAAGATGATTTAATAATTAGAATAAAGACATGATAAATACATCAATAAAATAAAATATGTTTCCTTTTATGACGTTGCTATTTTAATTAACATAATAGTATGTAAATTTGGATCGGACTAATTTGAATGAAAACTAATAACTTAAAGTTAAGATGCAAATTTATCCTGAAAGTTTTCATTCACATTCTTTAAAAGTTTTTTAAAGGACCAATTTGTCACAAAAATTTAAAATCGTAGCAATGTTGTTCCATGTCATTAAGAAACTAGTATTAATCGTTAAAATAGTAATACTGACCGTTAATATTTTTAATGGTGAGAGACAATATTACTATATTTTTAAACTTGCAAGGAAAATTTGCTTCAAAAAAATTTCTAAATACCTAATGCTCCTAAATGAAAACTTCTAATACAAATTTACACATTAACTCATAGACTTTTTATAATGGCTTGGCATGAAATTATGAGAAAATCAAGAAACGGTGTGGTTGATGGATTCAAAACTGGTGACATCAGTGAATCGTTTTGCGGCTTTGCATGGATAGCAAGATGTATACCTTATACACATGTAACATCTTATAACTATTTTATTTTTATCTTATAAGCAGGGGCACTAATGTAAAATATTTATGAATTTTTAAGATCACATTTTACTTATTATATTTATTTATTTTATTTATAATTATTTTTATTATTTCTTTATTTGAATTTGATATTTGTAATAAATATCTGATGTGTAATTAAATATATTAATATGTCATTATGACTACTACACTCAATATCCATTCATTGAATTGAAGTGGCAGCTCCTCCTGTTTAATCACTGATTCAATTTTCTTTTCCTTTGCTTTTTTATTTCTTGTCAAGGATGAGTTTAATTTACAACACCTTATTTAGCATTACTAAAAAGAAATCAAATTCATAATGGAAGAAAAAGGATATTGTCATAATCAATTTTTCCAAACAGTTATGTTTGCTTTCATGTGTTACAGTATGCAGATCAGTAGTTGTCAATAACCCGCTCATTATCACAACTAATTCGGTTTTATGAAATCATACATTATTGTAACCATATCATCTCTTAAAGATACATTTTCTTCAGCAGCAAAAGATTGAAAATGTTACAAGTTTGAATCTGAAAAGCATTAACTTTAATGCTTTTGACCTAAAGTAATCCTAAATTTAAAGTAACTTGTGAGTTACTACCTCCGCTCCTAATTATAAGAGCCAGTTCACTAATTTGGGGAGATTAAAGAAGTAAGTTAAATTAGTTATTTGTCCTAAATAGGTGTTATTTTTCTTAAAATATCTTTACTAATCAAATGTATTAACTAGAATTATTATTGTTAGAAGGACTATTTTAGAAGAAAAAAAATTGTATAAATATAAGAAACAAAGTGAATGGGAGTTTTATATTTAAGACTAAAATAAAAATTAAACGGAATCTTGTATTAAGAACCGAGGTATTATTAAAAACAAAAAGACTGAAAAGGTTTACAAGGAGGTCAAATACTTCAACCTTTGATTTGTCAGTAGTCGGGGAAAAAAAAGAAAAGAGTTTAGTGCCAGATGAGGTAGCACCAGGAAACAAAAAAGCGGGGATTGAACCCGACGTGAATCGAACACGCAACCTTCTGATCTGGAGTCAGACGCGCTACCATTGCGCCACGGATCCACCGTTGTTGGAAGTCGTCCATAGTAATAAGACTTATGAAGCCAAAAATCCCCCACACTCAATGAACGATGATTCAGGACAAGTGGCTGCACATGCAGACGAATGGACGAAAAGGAAAAACAATTGCTCTGTTCCCCTTTTAATTATCCCCTTTGACTTCCCTCCCTTTGATCCCCTCAAAAACAAAAAAAAATTGTCGTCTTTTGGAATAGGAAGCTTTAAAAAGCCACCAAGAGCCATCAGGTGTATAATCAAATTATTCCTGCTGCAGTTAAATTGTACCACATCAAAATTATTCGTATTCTAGTCATGTAAACTATTTGTATGAACAAGACTCTCTTATAAAACTAATTACTTGGTTTGTAAATATGTTGGATTGGATGGCCAGCAGTTAAGTTTGATTTGGAGGAACATATGGGTTGCGCGCATTTTGATGGATATGGTGTGCAGCTGTTTGGCGATCCCAACCTTGTCTTTAGCAATCTTTAACCAGACAAAAAGAAAAAGAAGGGTAAGTCTGAGGTCAAATCTTGCAGCTAGGCATGCTCTGGATGCAGTTGATTGAGGCGACAAAGTTCAACGTAATCCGCGCTCATTCATCATCAAAGTCTCACAAACTGCGGTCTCTGTGGTATTCTTCTTCTTCTCCAAATGGGTTTCCTTTATTCTCTGATGCAATTTAAGCAATGAACTCCTTCTGGGGTGGACTCTGTCTCTCACGTGATCAATCATAATTGCCTCTTGTTGAGAATTATGTTGCTTGGTTTCTAAAAAGCTTCCGCCACACGAGTACATCCCTGTGTGGCACAGCGTTCTGAATGAAAATCAAGCAGCATGGATTGCCATTTCCTTGGGACCTATGGATAGTGATGATCCTGATCTTTGTAAATCCCAAAGACCTTTAAAACAGATCTCCCTCTCAAAGATTGTGGCACATGCTCTGTTTAGATAAGGAAACCATTTATTATAAACACAAAATTTGAGTGGCGCTATATTGTATACTTTATGAGGCTCACAGATTCAAACATTAATATTATTAAATATAGTAGCAAGTCCAATATAAAGAACCTTGTCGGCAAACCTGTCAGTCCGTCACCACTACATACTCATCTCCCTCTGCCTCTAATGCGGTATGATTGCCAGGTTAATTAAATACTTTATTGTATTTACCTTTACGTATACTGCTTATGCACTTATGTGTGTGTATTTTAACTGACCTACATACCACACCCTCACATAATGCTAAATTCTCATCAGTGTGAAGACTGGGTTAAGCAAATGATCATTTCAAGCTAAGCAGAACTCGATATGTAAATAAAAAAAACCATAAAAGGATATCAATGGCGAAAATTAAGGATTCAGAGTAATTCAAAATTAAAAGCTTTCTGTAGCTGTTGGGGGGAAGGTTCCAATTGAAGAGCGGAGGTACCAACCGAATTCCAATGCAGGAAAACGCGTTTACAGCACCGAATATCATCTATTGGACAGTTTGCCTTCTTAAAGCAGCAAATAAAAAATTCATTTTTGTTCTTTGCCCTCAAATCATGAATTGTCACGCACCGACTTGGGCCCTGTCTCTTTTCCCGCCCTCAATTTTTTATATAATGAATTTTCCAAACCTAACTGCTCAAGTGGATTTCACCGCTATTGTAGTGGGTGACAGTTTCCGCAAAACCCAGATCTGGTCCGTTTCATTTCGTTTCCTTCTTTGGAAACTGGACAGCAACCCCGATCTATCTAGTTCTAGCAACGTATCAGTGTGCTCATCACTGATTCTGATATTTTTGTTGTTTAGATCCCAATGGGAAGCACTAGTTTGTTACATCTGTTCTGTTTTGTTTTGGCGTTTCTGGGTGTATCTTTGGTGAAAGCAGAAGATGCATATAAGTTCTACACATGGACTGTGACTTATGGGACTCTTTCTCCTCTGGGTGCTCCTCAGCAGGTGAGTTATCTGCATTATTGGATAAGAGATCTAAGATCTATATATTTGATACTTGTGTGTGTGTGTATGGCTATATGAGGGAATATTTGGATTTCTTACGTTTTGACGTTTGATTTTTTGAAGGTTATTCTTATCAACGGACAATTTCCTGGTCCTAGACTTGACTTGGTAACTAATGACAATGTCGTTCTCAACCTTATCAACAAGCTGGACGAGCCATTTCTGCTCACTTGGTGAGTTAGTTTCTTTTTCTCTGTTTACATCTGCATTGTTTATTGCAATGGGTTTAAAGAAGTAGAAGTTCCCGCCTTTTTGTTGACACGTCTGTATCATATGTTCTTGCTACATCCCTTTGATTTGATCACTACTTGGGCCCTAAGGAATCTATGTTTTCTCAAGTCTCTGAATGAATCGCGTCAAAATTTAACAATATGGAAAAGAAATGATCGAACAGAAGCTGGCATTGTTGTCATATACAGCTTTTTTAATGCAATAGTTGTTTAGACTTGAATCTTTGACGCCGTATTTTCATCACTCTTCATATTTACTAGATCTCCTGAAATTCGTGGAAATGAGCCTCAAATTATAGTTGCCACCGTTTGGTTGCATCTTGGTGGATGAATTTTTTTCCCCAATACAGTTTGATCCTGAAAATTTTGAGTTACGGCTGAAGTAGTTGGCTAATGCTGTTATTCTTAGAGATCTGCATTATAATTTCTTATTCGTGTTATCTGGCCATGAGTCTGACAAGATATTGGAGAATAAGGATTAAGATTATTGTTGTGAAACAGGAATGGCATTAAGCAAAGGAAAAATTCATGGCAAGATGGTGTATTGGGAACCAATTGCCCAATTCCTCCAAACTCAAATTACACGTACAAGTTTCAGACCAAGGATCAGATAGGAACCTACTCCTACTTCCCATCAACTCAACTGCACAAAGCGGCTGGAGGGTTTGGTGGACTCAATGTCTATCACAGATCCGTCATCCCTATTCCCTATCCTAACCCTGATGGAGATTTTACTTTACTCGTTGGAGATTGGTACAAGACCAGTCACAAGGTAAGCAAGATGACATTTTTGCCTTTTCATTGTTGCGGAATCACCTGAAAAACAGTTTTGGAACAGACTAGATTCTAATGTCTTACTAATAAACTGATAATGCATTTCTCAATATGATGACCTCACATCTTGCTCACAATCCCTTGAACTTCTTGTCTTGATGTTAGTAGACATTAAGGGGAACGTTGGATTCGGGAAAACCTCTTGCCTCTCCTGATGGCCTCCTCATAAATGGCCAGACTCATACAACCTTCTCTGGGGACCAAGGTCGGTTAGTGTTTTGAGAGGAGACAATCGGGCTTTGTCTAAAAATGATAATCAAACTTAAATATTTTTTCACTGACAGTAGCCGTCCTTGCTTTCAGGGAAGACCTATATGTTCAGGGTCTCAAACGTGGGCTTATCGACCTCAATTAACTTCAGAATTCAGGGCCATGCCTTGAAACTTGTTGAGGTTGAAGGATCGCATGTTGTCCAGAACCTATATGACTCTCTTGACATTCATGTTGGCCAATCAGTCTCTGTATTAGTAACCTTAAATCAGCCTCCAAAAGATTACTACATTGTTGCCTCAACAAGGTTTACAAAGCAAGTTCTCACATCAACTGCGGTTTTACACTACAGTAACTCTCACTCCCCAGTTTCCGGACCCTTGCCTGCCCCTCCCCCTTCTGAATACCATTGGTCTATGCAGCAAGCTAGAACCTACAGGTTAGTTATCAATTAGCTAATAAAAAATATGCAACTTGTGAACTGATATTTTCATGCTTTGGCCCTCGTAACAGAAACATATACATGGTCTGAAATTAATCGTTCCTTCTTGCAGATGGAATCTGACAGCAAATGCTGCTAGGCCTAATCCACAAGGATCATTCCATTATGGGAAGATCACTCCGACAAAGACGATTGTGTTGGCCAATTCAGCTCCTTTGATAAACGGAAAACTACGTTATGCTGTTAACAAGGTCTCTTATGTTAACCCTGATACCCCTCTCAAGCTTGCTGATCACTTCAACATCCCGGGAATCTTCAGCGTGGATAAAATGCAAGTCACTCCATCCAATGGTCCAGCTTCCATAGCTACCTCTGTCCTCCAATCTTCTCTCCATGATTTTCTCGAGATTGTTTTCCAGAACAACGAGAACACATTACAGTCTTGGCATCTTGATGGTTACGATTTTTGGGTAATTGGGTATGTGTTCTTTCTCTTCAATCTCCTGTCTTGAGTACCTATTTTCACTTTTCAGTGAGCTTCAAGGAATTCTAATGAGGCTCATTGCAACATTAAATACAGATACGGTTCAGGCCAATGGACGCCAGACAAGAAAAGCACCTATAATCTAGTGGATGCCCTTACCAGACACACTGCTCAGGTAAATGAACAAAGTTCTGAACTGATTATGATTCTTAAGAGAAACTGAATTTTGAATCCTCTTGACGATGGTGATTAAGGAAGTGATCGTTCAAATGAATGTAGGTATATCCGAACTCGTGGACAACAATATTGGTGTCGCTGGACAACCAAGGAATGTGGAATATGAGGTCAGCAATATGGGAAAGGCAGTATCTTGGGCAACAGTTCTATCTGAGGGTGTGGGATGCACAGAAAAGTCTTGCTAATGAGTATGATATTCCCAGCAATGCTCTCCTTTGCGGCAAAGCTGTTGGACATCACCCTTAATTTGCATCATCCCTTTATTCTTTTTGGTGTATTTGATAGTCATGAGAGCTTGACTAAGAGAAACATTAGAGGGGGAAAACACATACAGAAGAGTTTTTTTTTTTTTGGTAAAAGAAGAGTTAATTTAATTTATAAAGTTTATGGCAGTCTTGTTAGAAAAGTGCACCGGGCTGGCTCGGTGGCTTGCAAATCTAGTATTACTATTCATGGCCAGCATTTTATGGGCCAAAATTAAATCGATATATTTTTAGTTTTGTTATTATATGCGTGCCAGTGAAAGAAATATGCCTTATCTACTCGGAAAAACGAATTGTATCTTTTCATACTTTAAAGTCAAAACTTTCAATTAAAATGTTTTTTTTATTTAGAATAATTCTCCTTTCATTTGTATTTTGTACTAAAGTGTCTATTTTTTAACAATAAAAAAATTAAATTTGAAAAGAAATATAAAAATAGAAAAATTCAATGTACACTGTTATAAATATTATCGATGAAATATATGTATTGACCCTTAAAAAAGAATCAAGAGCATTACAGTTATTAAAACTAAATTAATTTCTCCTTTATTTAAGGTCCAAGGTGAAAAATAGAGTTTATATTTTGAAATAAACTAGTCTTGAGCCGTTGACTTCCTCGAAGGGATGTAGAAGATTTTTATGATTATGTAATTTTCAAAAAATAAATTAATTAGTGAACATGGAAAAATAAAAAGTACTAAGAAACAGTGTTTGTTTTTTGGGGCCAACAATAGTGTTCATTTGTTTCATCTTCATGTATTGATATATTAATGAAGTAATTAACGAAATATAATATAGGGAGTGTTTGGATTCTCCTATAAGTTCTTTTTAAAAGCACTTTTCTACAAATTAAGATAAATTTCTCTACAAATTTATTTTGTATACCGTAAAATTACTTCTAAAACTATGGTTTGGTTTCTTATCCAAATACCTTCATAATTAGACCGACAGGATCACAATAAGTGATATTTATATAATTTATTTTACATTTTCAACATTGGGCCTAGAAGGGTGAATTGAGAGATATGGACCTGTGGCACGGGTACTGGACAGGGTTGATGTGGGCTCTTGGCCTCTCTATGTGTATCTCTTTTTTTCTAAAAAAAAAAATTGCAGGTTTAATTTTGGGAAAATGACAATAAAATACCACTTCAATTCCAAAAGGACAAATAAGGGACCTGAATAAGCAAAATGACAAATAGGGCACTGGGTATCAATTTGGAATTCATATTTTCGGCGAAAAGACTGAAATGCCCTTATCAGTGAGGTAAAATGAAGTGAAACTGAAATGAAAATAAAGATGGAGCAGAGCACCGGTTGAGCTGATTTAATAAAGAAGGAAAGAGAAACGCTGGAAGAACACATCAGAGCTGAAAAGAGGTGAGTTTAAGTCGGTAGTCTTTGGAAATGGTATAATCTTACTCCTCCGCATCATAATTTTTTTGGGATTGCTGATTTAATAGATTTTGGTTATGGGCGAGAGGTTTTGTAGCAAGAGAGAGAGTAAACATGTCGCATTAACTGATGGTGGGGTTTGGGTAGTTCCTTTTTGTGTCTGCTTTATGGCGCAATGGTGGGGACGGGTGTGCTGGAGATGAGGTTTTATACTTTATATTGACTATTTCGAATGACGTAGCGGAAATCAAGAAAGGTGGCAAGCAATTACGTAGGCGTGAAGTTTGCGTTGAAGTGGTGAACGTTGTTAAAATCAATAATGGAGTTGTGAAACCCTATAATAAAGTTGCGAATAGAAGAAAAGTTTCTCTCTTTGTGTGTGTTTTGGGTGTCACGTACGTTGATGGAAACTAATTGGCGGAGAAGTTAATTTTTTTATATTTAATGTTGTTTGCTGCAGGTTAGCAAGTGGTGATGTCTTGTAACATTGTATCAACATCTTCAAAAAGACTTGCTTGTTATTTTCACGTAGATGGGAAGTTTGTGGAAAAGGACAATGGCGAAGTTAAATACTGTGGTGGGACTGTCAGAGTAAGAGTAATAAATGAGGGTACAAAACTTGAAGATTTGAGGGCAATGATAGGCGAATGGTTCAGCATGGATTGTCATGGCTGTGATATTAAATACACTTTGAGTTTTGACGAGAGGGTATTGGTAGATCTTATAGATGATGGTGAAGTTGATAATCTATTTGAATATAATGACCGTAATGCACATATTTATATAGCACATAAAGGTAATGACAATGTGGAGGAAGGAATGGGTTATCCAGAAATGTAAGTGAGAAATTTTTTTTTGGTGGTTATGAAAGTTGATAATTGTTGTAATGTTGTAGTAAATCTCTTAACAACAGTGGTAATTATAAATGCAGGATCTCAAGAATGGAAGGACTGTCAGAACAGAGTGATGAGCCTACGTTGGAGGGAAATGCTTTGGAAAGTACAAGTTCTGGAGGCAGTGAAAGACCTAATGTAAGCCTACCATACGGAGTAGTGAGTGCACCTACACCTTTGCCGGAGATGAATTCTTTGAAATGGAAGGAATTGTTGTTAGGACGGAACCAAACTTTTGCAAATGCAGAAGATTTCAAGAAGAAAGTACATAAGTTCAGTATTGCAAACAAGTTTGAGTACAAGTATGTGAAAAATTGTAGGGGAAAAATGTATGTGAAATGTAGTGTTGAAGGTTGTCCGTGGAGGATAAGTGCAAGAGTGGGGAGAAAGAGTACTCCCTTTTTACGTGTGGCAACATTCATAAATGAGCATGTCCATAATGCACAAGACAATCTTTGTGTGGAACATTGTGGTTCAGCTAGCTTGACAGCATCAATCATCAGAGATGAGGTAAATGATCACATAGACAGGCGTCCAAATGATATAAGGAAGACTTTAGAAAGAGATTATGGTATGAAGTTGACATATAAACAAGCATACAGGGCAAAGCAAAAAGCTTTAGAGGACATACATGGCAGGCCTGACCAGTCTTATATGCTTATTCCGTGGATATGTGAACGGTTGAAGGAAACAGATAACAAAACCGTGGCCAAATGGGTGGCTAATACTAATAACACATTTGAGCGTGCATTCATAGCATATGGGTGTTGTATAGAAGGCTTTATAGCTGGTGCTAGACATGTACTGTACATTGATGGATGTCATTTAAGTGGACCGTATAAGGGGACGTTACTGTCGGCGTCTGCTTATGATGCTGACAACGAATTGTTACCTTTTGCGATTGCTGTTGTAAAGGGAGAGACACTTGAGGATTGGACATGGTTCTTATATATGATTAAGGAGATAGTTGGCTCGATGGAATTGACAATTGTGTCAGATCGACACAATGCAATAATAGGCGCCGTGCAAGCAATATTTGGTGGTGAGAGGCATGCATACTGTTACAGACATGTTAAGGAAAACTTCAGTGCACAAATGATTAAATTAAATAGAGGAAAGAGGAAGACTAGTGGGAAAGCAAGGGAGGAGGGACTGCAATACCTGGATGCCATTGCATATGCAAGGCTTGACACCGAGTTTGATGGTGCAATGGATAACATGAGAAAGTTCAATCCACAATTATTTGAGTGGCTTCTTAATCATGGTGATGTTGAAAGGTGGGCCTTAAGTAAATTCCCATTTAAACGGTGGGATAACATCACAACAAACCTTGCTGAGTCATTCAATGCTTGGATGTTGAAAGAGAGACGATATAATGTTGCCCAACTTATACATGAGCATCGTGAGAAAGTGGCAAAGAAGATGTATGCAGCAAGCATAGCAATGAGTAATTGGAAAAATGGTGTAGGCCCAAACATAGATGCAAATTGGTGGACAATGTTGCTAGATCAGCATGCATGCTGAGTGTACCTTATGGAGGAGGTAGGGTGTGTGTCCATACAGCAAAAGGAGCTGTACATGTTGATCTTGGTCTAGGCGAATGCACCTGTGCAGCTTGGCAAATGTCAGGCATTCCATGTCCCCATGCCTGTGCAGCGATTAAGGCTGTGAATTGCAATGTCTATGATTTTGTTGATGAATGCTACAAGATTACATCACAGCAAAAGATTTATGGCAGGAGTATGATTCCAGTGGCGACAGTAGACATGCCAAATCCTAACAATTACTGGGTGGAAAATATAGGAAGTCAAGTGTTCTTGGCACCGCCTTTGACTAATCGACCGCCAGGAAGGCCTAAAGTAAAAAGACGAGAGTCACAGTTCCAGAATAGGAAGATCTACCATTGTAGCACATGCAAACAAGTTGGGCACACAAGAAGAACGTGCAAGAATCCAAACCCAAGTTGAACTTAGATGTCAATAGATATGGTGATTTTTTGGTGTAAATAGTGTTGCGTGAATGGTAAATCCCATTGCACGTGTAGTGTAGTTAGTATGAAAGTTATGGTTCAATGTTTACCGTGCTGTACTTGAGGTGCAGACATTTGAATATATGTAATGCATCTGCTGTCATATTGCTGCTGGTTTTTGGTAAATACTGTTGGGTGAATGGTAAATCCCATTGCACGTGTAGTTAGTATGAAAGTTAATGGTTCAATCATGTCATAAATACTGTATCAGCTGTCATATTGCTACTGTTTTTTGATAAATAGTGTTGCGTGAATGGTAAATCCCATTGCACGTGTAGTGTAGTTAGTATGAAAGTTATGGTTCAATGTTTACCGTGCTGTACTTGAGGTGCAGTCATTTGAATATATGCAATGCATCTGCTGTCATATTGCTACTGGTTTTTGGTAAATACTGTTGCGTGAATGGTAAATCCCATTGCACGTGTAGTTAGTGTAGCTACTATGAAAGTAAACGGTTCATGTTTATCGTGATGTACTTGAGGTGCAGTGATTTGAATATATGTAACGTATCTGCTGTCATATTGCTGCATTGTATTGTTCATGGCAGAAAATCTGCCCAGCCCGGCAAGAAGGTGCAAAACCCAGTATAAAAGTAGTAAATACCATTGAAAGAGTTGTAAATCCCTCCGTATGTTTTGCAAAATTGACCTCCGACCTTTACCGTTTTGAGACCAAAGTTGCGCAGGCCAATTTTTTTGGGATGCAAAACCCACTGTAAAAGTTGTAAATCTCAGTTGAAGAGTTGTAAATCCCTCCGTGTGTTTTGCAAAATTCACGTCCGACCTTAACCCTTTTGAGACCAAAGTTGCGCAGGCCAATTTTTTTGGGATGCTAAACCCACTGTAAAAGTAGTAAATCTCAGTTGGAGAGTTGTAAATCCCTCCGTGTGTTTTGCAAAATTG